TATTTTATTGATATTTTACAGAGAGGAAGGGAGAGGGATAGAGAGTTAGAAATATCAATGAGAGAGAAACATCGATCAGCTGCCTCCTGCACGCCCCCCACTGGGGATGTGCCCGCAACCAAGGTACATGCCCTTGACTGGAATCGAACCTGGGACCCTTGAGTCCGCAGGCCGACGCTCTATCCACTGAGCCAAACCGGTTCGGCTAGAATTCTACTCTTTGAACAAGTAGAGTGATAAATTTGAATAAAATATAATTATTGCCATCAGGGAACTTAGAACAGAGTGGAGAAGACAAGCAGGGAATTCAGTGATTATGCTGCTCTTGTTACTGGAGTCTCCCACTGACCCAGATTCCAAAGAATTGAACACCTTCCCAGGCAGTTTCCACTGGCACTTCATGTTCAGCTCTTTTAAAAAATATATATTTTTTTTATTGATTTCAGAGAGGGAGGGAGAGGGAGGGAGAGGGAGAGAGAGAAACATCAATGATGAGAGAGAATCATTGATTGGCTACCTCCTGCATGACCCCCCACTCTGGGGATCAAGCCTGAAACCCAGGCATGTGCCCTGACCGGGAATTGAACCATGATCTCCTGGTTCATAGGTTGATGCTCAACCCCTGAGCCATACTGGCCGGGCCATGCTCAGCTCTTAAAGCCACACTTAACATTTCTTATAGCAAATGGACCTCAAAGCAAAATGTTCCTCTTCCTTTAATGCAGTGGTTCTCAACCTGTGGGTCGAGACCCCTTTGGGGGTCGAAAGACCCTTTCACAGGGGTCGCCTAAGACCATCGGAAAACACATCTATAATTACATATTGTTTTTGTGACTAATCACTATGCTTTAATTATGTTCAATTTGTAACAATGAAATTGGGGGTCACCACAACATGAGGAACTGTATTAAAGGGTCGCAGCATTAGGAAGGTTGAGAACCACTGCTTTAATGGAAATTGCCTCTGTTAATTGGATCTGTTGAGTGATGAAGGAAGCTCTTGAGGGGGCGGGGGAGGGTGAACCAAGCTCAAAAGAGGAGCTTGTGGGCTTGATGACTTGTTAAGCTCAAACTTTTTTTAAAAAAATATATTTTATTGATTTTTTACAGAGAGGAAGGGAGAGGGATAGGGAGTTAGAAACATCGATGAGAGAGAAACATCGATCAACTGCCTCCTGCACACCCCCTACTGGGGATGTGCTCGCAACCACGATACATGCCCTTGACCGGAATCGAACCTGGGACCCTTCAGTCCGCAGGCCGACGCTCTATCCACTGAGCCAAACCGGTCAGGGCTAAGCGCAAACTTTTTACACATTTCTGCTCTGCAGACTAGCTGAATGGTGGAATGGATTATTAATGAGCAAGAACAATTTCTAGTTTGGTCCCCAAAGAGCTTTGAACAGGAAGAGAAGAGCTGTTTCTTCCTGACTGGTGAAGGGATCTTAGGCCAAGTTTGAGGTAGAGGTAGAGATGGCCTCCGCCATATCTCGTGTCAGAGCCTTTAAAGCTGAGCCTAAATTACATTAGACATTGCTGTGCTAAATTATATGTTTTGCAAAAATACTCCACTGGTTCTAAATCGATTGTTTTTACATAATCATCTTTTCCTAAGGAGACACTGTAATTCTCTGATTAGATGTGGTGTTTGCATGCATCCCTTGGTGAAATGCCTAGCACTTCAACAAGGAGGAGCTCCACCTTTAAGCTGGACATGTTCTCAGGGCAGCTCCCCCCTCCTTGGGCTGTGGCATCAGGACTCTGTGCCCTTTGTGTCTAGCTGATTTCCCTTGGTGGTGAGTCACGCACCATCCGACACTCATAGTGCGAGAACTGCATTAATAAAAGGGTGAGAAATTGTACAGTGCATATGCAAATGACAAGTAGACTGTGAGAAAAGCTTACGGGTGAGGGTTGAAGAGAAGGAACAGAAGGATGACAGAAATTTTAGGGGCCGGGACCGAGAGAACACGAGCTGGGGTACAGAGGGAGCGTTCTGCAGAAACATCTACTTCAACTAAAGGTTCAAAGGAGAATAAATCCAGGGCTAAACAAGAAAGATGCATGTTCTCTCAAAAGTTGGTTAAGCCCTAGCCAGTTTGGCTCAGTGGATAGAGCATTAGCCTGCGGACTGAAGGGTCCCAGGTTGATTCCAGTCAAGGGCACCTGCCCAGGTTGCAGGCTCGATCCCCAGTAGGCGTGCAGGAGGCAGCCGATCAATGCTATGATTCTCTCTCATCATTGATGTTTCTATCTCTCTCTTCCTCTCTGAAATCAGTTTTTTAAAAAGTTGGTTAAAAGTAAAGACTCAGACTTAGATTGGGAAGGGCCACGGAGTCTGGGTAGACCAGTAGTATGTAATGCACTGTAAATAGAGAGGCAGAGATTTCTTTTGCATTTTCTTCTTCTTTTCCCTTGTTCTCTCCCACTCTCTTCTCCCCTCCTTTTTACCTCTTCCCTTCCCCCAAATGCTCAGATAAACTTGACTTTCCTGTTATTCATTCATCAAGGTTCTTGACCACCTTGTACCTCAAAGTACAATATTACAGATTCCTTTGACCGAGGGTGTTCACACGTGGCCCTTGCTCTCTAGCCCAAATGCACAACTGTGGATTGCTTATTACTTGCAATCCATCCAGAGCAAATAACACGATGGTTCTATTATTTCCTTTACAACCAATGGCAAGAACATTTAGAAATGGATGGCAGGGAGAAGGTGAAGTTTTTGACCATAGCATGAAGAAAATCTAATTGGTGGAGATTTGGAATTGCCAATGCCATGGCCTTGTTAGCACTGCTGTGTAATGAATTAGATGTGTTGGGGGTGGTGAATGAGAAGGAAAAGCCATCCAGAATGCCTCTCACCATTTGATTTTGGTGACTTAGTAGATGGTGTCACTGGGTATACAGGAAGAGGAGTTGTTTGGGGGAGGGGGAGGTTGGGCCAAAGTTTGGGGCATGTGGGACTTTAAGGTAATTGGGGCTTGATCATTGCTAGATATGTATGTTTGAAGCACTGGGGAGATTAGAGTTTAAATTTAGTGTGTATTTTCAGTATTTGTTGAGGTTATGAATTTGGACAGGATAACACATGCAAGCATGTACTAGAGCAGTGATGGCGAACCTATGACACACGTGTCAGAGGTGACACGCGAACTCATTATTTTGGTTGATTTTTCTTTGTTAAATGGCATTTAAATATATAAAACAAAAATAAAAAATATACATCTTTGTTTTACTATGGTTGCAAATATCAAAAAATTTCTATATGTGACACGGCACCATAGTTAAGTTAGGGTTTTTCAAAATGCTGACACGCCGAGCTCAAAAGGTTCACCATCACTGTACTAGAGTGAAAAGAGTAAAAGTCAAAGCACTTGAGAACACAAATACTTAAGGGTCATCTTATTTATATTACTAGAGGCCCAGTGCACGAGGTTCATGCACTCATGGGGGTCCCTCAGTCTGCCTGCACCCTCTCGCAGTCCGGGAGCCCTCAGAGCGCTGCCGCCACCACTACTGCGCTCGCCAGCTGTGAACCCGGCTATTGGCTGAGCAGAGCTCCCCCTGTAGGAGTGCACTGACCACCAGGGGGCAACTCCTGCATTGAGTGTCTGTCCCCTGGTGGTCAGTGCGCATCATAGCGACTGGTCATTCCACCATTTGGTCGATTTGCATATTAGCCTTTTATTATATAGGATTCTGGGATTTAGACACTTAGTACATAGTCTCTTCATGATCATGACTCCAGGAATGCCTCCCTTGATAGTAACTACTACTTTTATTTATTGCTTTTATTGATTTATTTGTTTTAGCATTGAATGTTACTTTGGCTCTTCTGTAGTACAACTTATATTATTTAAGAAAAAGATGCAACTTACAATTCTTTGACAGTGGATGTTACAAAATTCCACAAGATGATCACACCATTTACGGTTCCAGCAGCTATCAAATTATATCCTTCTACTTGCAATACATCAATGCAGTTCACTTCTGAACTGACCGTAGGATTCTAAAGAAGGGAGGAAACCAACTCATTGACCGTCATGAACACAGTATCTAACCACAATACACATGCTGTGTGTACACTTTGTCATCTCATCATTAACTTAAAATGTCTTATGATTTTTCAAAAAATTTACCGGAGTAGAGTTGGTATACAATATTATATTTGTTTCAGGTGTACGACATAGTGATTTGACATGTATATGCCTTACAATGTGATCACCATAAGTATGAAAACCATCTGTCATGCAAAGTTCTTACGATGTTATTGACTCTATTCCCTGAGCTGTACATTACATCTCCATGACTCATGTTATAGCTGAAATTAAGCGATAGTACATTGAAATTCATTGCATTATTTTCTTTACTTCTGTGTATGTTTGTAATGTTCCATAATAAAAGGGAAGAAAATCAAGAAATGAAACTTACAGGAACATCTTGAGGATGGGTTTTCTCAGCTATCAACGAAACATATGGGAAGGGAAGAGCCATGCTCCTGTCTTTAGTAGACGTTTTCAGACGCACAATATGATTACCATCTTGTAGGACAGGTATGACATCAGGCAGCTCCCATATCACAATGAGACAAATATCATTTTCTTTACCCTTTAAAAGAACCCCAGTGAGGACATGAGAAACTCAATTAACTATTTTATTCGGAACTGTTGTAAGGATATAGAGAAAAATAGAACAAGCCAGGATGTATCTGCCACCCAGTTTTGTCAAGTCTTAAGTTCTATCTACCCCTCCCTAATATAATTCCTCTTTTTTTCTTCCCTTCCCAGAAGTAACTAGTAACCTGAATAAGGTGTTAGTTATGAAAGTTTGTATATTTATACATAAATATATACATACATTCTACATGTATATAAGTAAATCTATATAAGTATTGCTTTCAGGCTTTTAACCATTTTTTTTTTTGAAAACCCTAACTTTTATTTTTGAAAGGCAGCTGGATAAACTGGCAAAAGCCAGTTTTGTTGAAATTTCAAGATGGTATAAAAATGCTTCCAGGATATAGTCAGCATATTCACATTCACTTCGGCTTCATTCGGATGGATTTCAGCTTCCAACAGGCTTTTGACCTTTTAATAAAGTTATCAAGCTGTATAAATTCTTCTTCAACTCTCTTGTTTCACTTAAAATTATATTTCTGAGTCCTGGCTGGAGTTGCTCAGTTGGTTGGAGCATTGTCCCATACACCAGAAGGTCAAGGGTTCAATTTCCAGTCAGGGTTCATACCTGGGTTGGGGTTTGGTCTCCGTAGGGGCGCATACAGGAGGCAAACAATTGATGCTTCTCTCACATCTATGTTTCTCTCTCTCGCCCTCCCTCTCTAAAAATCTACGAAAACATATCCTCGGGTGAGGATTAAAAAATTTATACTTTTGAGATTTTTTACATAAAGCTCTAGTTCATTTATTTTTAACTGCTTTATAGTGTTGTACGAATATACTACAACTGATTTAACCCATTTTCTTAGTAATGGATATTAAGCTTGTTGTCAATTTTTTGCTGCTTGTTTTTATGGACAATTGCTACAGCTTCTAGAACAATTCCTGGAGTAGAATTATCAAGTTGTAAGATATGCATGTTATCAACTTTACTAGATATTGCCAACTGACTTTTCAAGGAGTGTTAATCTTTGCCCACTCCCAACTGGAGCAGAGCAGAGTTCTCCTTTCTTCTCATTCTTGCCAACACTTGATTTTACTCGATTATTTAGCCTACCTAATGGGTTTGAAATGGGACATTTAAAAATTAATCTTAGCCCTAGCTGGTTTGGCTCAGTGGATAGAGCATCAGCCTGTGGACTGAAGGTTCCTGGGTTCGATTCCGGTCAAGGGCTCATGCCAGGGTTGTGGGCTCAACCCCCAGTAGGGGGTGTGCAGGAGGCAGCCGATCAATGATTCTCTCTCGTCATTGATGTTTCTAACTCTCTCTCCCTCTTTGAAATCAATAAAAATATTAAAAAATTTAATTGTAAAATATATTAATTATATCAATCACATTTTCTGAAGTAGTGAACTGAACTTTTTATGTGTTTGTGAAACATTTGGCTTTCCTTACCTGTCCTTGGTCCATTTTCATCTTGGGCTGTTTGGTTTTCTTCTGCATTTGTGGGATTTCTTTAGCTCCTCTGGTTCCTAATCTTTTCTCACTTACCTGGGATCCAGTGAGTGGTCTTTTCACACTATGTGACTTGTTTTTCACTTTTTAAAGAAAAGAGCTTATTTTTAATTTGAAAGCAAGACACTGTTGTGGCATCCCATCTGTGAAAATGTTACAGCTCTCATATTTTCAGGAGTGTTTTTTTTATGTCCTTTTATTTTATTTCTACAAAACTCTGGCATATTTGTGTTGAATTTATTTTAGGCACCTCATATTTTTCTTTGCTATTGTAATGCAATCATTTATTCTGCTTTCTAGTTGGTTATTATTGATGACATGCTATTGAATTTTGAAATGAGGATAAAAGCCACATTTTTAAGGTTGGTCATTTTGCCAGCAGAGCAGGATTTTTAAAGGTTGAAAGCAGCTACAGTAAAGTGGAGGGAATATTGGCCTAAGCGTGAAAACAACAGATTTCTAGTCTTAGTTCTAGTGAAAAGTTGAACAGAGCACCTGTCTTCTTTGGGCCTTATTTTCCTTATTTATAAGATGAGGAGTTTAGCTAGTTGACAAACAAAAGTCCTTTTTTTTTTTTTACTTTAATATATATCTATATTGATTTCAGAGAGGAAGGAAGAAGGAGAGACAGAAACATCAATGATGAGAGAGAATCATTGATCAGCTGCCTCCTATATGGCCCCAAGTGGGGATCGAGCCTGCAACCCAGGCATGTGGTCTGACCTGGTAAGATGAGGAGTTTAGCTAGTTGACAAACAAAAGTCCTTTTTTTTTTTTTACTTTAATATATATCTATATTGATTTCAGAGAGGAAGGAAGAAGGAGAGACAGAAACATCAATGATGAGAGAGAATCATTGATCAGCTGCCTCCTATATGGCCCCAAGTGGGGATTGAGCCTGCAACCCAGGCATATGGCCTGACCTGGAATCAAACTGTGACCTCCTGGTTCACAGATCAATGTTCAACCACTGAGCCACACGGTCTTGGCAGTCTTTTCATTTTTTAAAGCTTTTTGTTTCTAGGTGATCTAAGGTCTCTGTGCTTTCATATTTATGCTAATTTCCCTAAAAGTATGGGCCAGTGGTTCTCCTACCGACCAGTTGTTTTTTGTTAGAGTTTGTGCCATTGTGGGAGCAGAATGCATCTCAGCCACATCCAAACAGTGAGCGGAGATGGGTATCCTCAGTACCAGCTTTGTTAGGTTCACATGCCCCCTTGGTGGTATGAGTTGACTGCCACGGTTTTCATGGCGTTAGCTGGTTTCAACTGACCCACTTAGGACAGCAAAATAAAAAATAAAAATAAAAACCCACAAAATATTGACTTACAGTTACTAACATTTGATTTTACAAGAGAGGACATAGGAAAGGAGGAACTAGAAACACTGCTATCATCATTGTACGAGAGGAGAGGTTATATTTTAATATGAAAAAGTAAAAGTAGGAAAGATATAATCTTAACGCTTAAAAAATAAAATTAGCCCTAACCGGTTTGGCTCAGTGGATAGAGCGTCGGCCTGCGGACTGAAAGGTCCCAGGTTCGAGTCCGGTCAAGGGCATGTACCTTGGTTGCGGGCACATCCCCAGTAGGAGGTGTGCAGGAGGCAGCTGATCGATGTTTCTCTCTCATTGATGTTTCTAACTCTCTATCCCTCTCCTTCCGCTCTGTGAAAAATCAATAAAATATATATTTTTTAAAAAAGTAAAATTAGCTCTAGGAAAAAGCTATCCTTGTTTTCTTCATTTTATTCCTAATTGGTGAAAACTCTGACCTCTGGTTTGCATTGGCAGATAGGCCTTTGGGAATCGGTGCTCTGGGAAACCAGCAGCTCACATGATGCTAAGGGCGTGCATGCCATTCATTGCTTCACAGAGAAAGCTCCTTTGCTCTAAGGGACCTACAAATAGGGCTACACGAGTAAACTCACCAAGCAGTGTGGCCAGAAGGGAGGGAAAATAAAGAGACGTAAGTGGCTCTTTAGCATTTGAAATATTTGCGGTGCATGAATCAAAATCTCTAAATTCACACAGTGCTTTGGTTATACTGTAAGGATAGCAATTTCTCACCGATCAATGGTTTTTATCAAGAAGATTTTAGGATCAAGTGAATAAATAATCTGATGAACAGAAAAAATTGGTGATTATAATAGAATCAGGGGCATAGAAAGGGAGTGGA